TCCTACTGATATGAGAGACTTGGTTTATAGGAGGAGGACCACTGTTGTTAGATATTTATGATAATTTCTTTGTAGTATTTTTTTTTTCAGTTAGTGATACACTGTTAAGTACTGATTTGATATTATCTTCAAATTATTATTGCCGTTTTTCAATGTTTTAAACTTCTTGTATTTTATGGCTATTAGTGACTTTTTTATATTTTGGAAGTTTTTGAAAGAAAAAAATAATGTGGAAAGTAAAAATGAAGTGTTAATGTCGTCCGACCGCTGTTTTTCCCTTAGTTAATTCTAAGCCCCGTCGGGTTGTGATAGACGATGACTGGTAGGAAGGTTGAAGGGTTTGTGGTTGTAAGTTGAGAGGTTGGAAGGGGATTACAGCAGTAGGAGGGGATGCTGTAGGGAGTGGAGTTGCCTCGGTGGGAGAGAAGCGAGCGGGGGAAAGGAATAAGTGCGTGATGTGGGGAGATAGTCATCATCTCGGAGCATAATACAGCTGGAGCACTCCCAATCTTTGGAAATCATCCTAGGAAGGGAGAAATGTCGGCGAGAAATCTAAAATCAAGAAAAACTAAACCCCAACACAAGGAAAAGACGTATATATATTAGATAACTAAGATGGGGAGGCCCCTCCTCTTGGGCGGAAACCCTAACCCAACAGTATTGCCCGACCGGACCTTTCCTTCTCTTGGCTAATCCGGCTTGGTTGGATATAGCCGGATCAGCCTTCCCACTTAAGGTAGCCTTGCATAACCAATTCAAACATCCAGAAACAGAAACCACAAGCCATAAAAAAAAGGCAGAAAAGCTTTGAAGAACTATTCCTCAAAGAGCAATTATATTTGAAAATAACTTAATGAAGTACTGTACATAATTCAAAAAATATTTAAGCATTGCAGTATCATTTTTTTGACAATTTTGTACCGATAGGCCAATTCGTCAGGTTTGCACAAGTGTCACACTTGCCACCAGACGCAGGTATTTTTGACTAGCTGAGATACTATATCTTCCATTATTGCGTTTGATAGAATGAGCCAATTTACTTCATTAAGTCAACATAAACAGCAATATTAAATATTTTTTTTTAATTTTTGTGAAATAAAACCTATTTATCGATGTTAAATGTTTTTTGAATCATATTTCTGTGCTTTTGCAGTATGATGAACGCATTATCCGAAGGGCTTTCCTTGGCAAGCTCAAGTGGATTGAGTCGGCAGACATTTCTTGATATATTGGTAAAGAAACCAACTAAAAAAAAAAAAAATCAAATTTCAATATGGTTGATTTGAAAACTATGCCTTTAATTCACATAAATATGACACAATTCCTATATATTTACATTTCTATCACCTAAACTTTCATATATACATGAATAGCACTCAAATCCTTAATATCACATAAAAAATATCACTTTACTTGCTTCTTAAAAGTGAAATACATATTTTCATGCAATATATGTACAAAAAATGTTATAAATGTAATGAAATTTTACATACCTAACGCAATTATTATGCAATTACATATCTCACACCAAAATTTTCATATTTTCTTACATAGCACTCTGGTGCTTGAAACCTATGAATGAAAATGTGTATTTCACTTTTGTATTTCACTTTTAGAAAGTGATAATAGTTCTATTTTTGATGTGATATTAAAAGATTCGAGTGCCATGTGTATAAATATGAAAATTTAGGTGTGAGATATGTAAACATCGCTAAACATAAATATAAAAGTTTAGTAGTTAAATATGTAAATACATAAGAATTGTGTGGTATTTATGTAAATTTCTCTTTATATATATATATATATATATATATGTGGTTCTCTCTGCAGGACCTTGGTGCCATTGCTAATCCAATGTTTAAGCTAAAGGGGGCTGCCATGATCCAAGGCAGCTATCCTCCTGCCTTTCCTCTCAAGCACCAACAGAAGGATATGAGGCTAGCTCTTGCTCTCGGTGATGAAAATGCTGTTTCTATGCCTGTTGCTGCTGCTGCTAATGAGGTATTTCTGTCTCGCTTCGCAAAATTTAGATACATATTCCTGAGTTTTTATGTATTTATATATGTAGGAAGATTCACATGCATGCCGCTCAATTCCTTTGTATTTACATATCTAACACCTAAACTTCATTTTTTACATCCATTTCACCTTCCTCATGCATAAAAAGATGTGATATGAAAGATTCAGGTGTTATAAATGTACAAAAACAAAAATTAGGTGTTACATAGGAATTGGGTGGTGTGGTATGTAAATCACATTAAAATATAGGAAGATCTGCATGCATATCACATAATTCCTATGTATTTATGTCTTTTAACACCTAAACTTAAAGTTTTTACAGTCACAGAACTTAATCTAATACATGAAAAGTTCAATTGCACTTTATTAGAAGTTAATGATAATGATGATAATGATATTTTTTCTATGATGGGAAAGATTTGAGTTATATAGTTGTAAGAAACCAAAGTTTAGGTTTTAGATATCTAAATACATTGGACCTGTGTTATGTAAGAAAAAGCCCCTAAACTATAGTTAATATTAGTAATTAGTGTTATTTTTTTATGTGACTTATACATTATTGGTGATATATAAATGAATATAAAAATTGACATGTAATACTTGGCTCCAGGCCTTTAAGAGGGCCAGGAATGTTGGCCTTGGGGATCTTGATTTCTCAGCAGTGTATGAGATTGTGAAAGCGACGGGGAGTTCAGGTAATGCCAATTGATTTCTAAGCAAATTACTATTGAGTTATTTTACATATCAGTCATCCATCCAAACTATTGAATACCATCCAAATTATAAAAATATCCTTTATAGTGAGTAAAAGAGTGTGGCTGAAATGAAAATGTGGTTAAAATGTTATATTCAATATTTTAGGTGATTGACATGTAAAAATCTCGTAATTGAATGGTATCATTTTTTAGGGCTTTCCTTTGATCTTTTCTTTTTCCTATGATGCAATTGAAATACATGTTGTCATCAAACCATTGTTGTTATTATCAAAGTGTTTTTTTGGAATATAAATGATTCGAGTAAGGTCTCAATGAGTTGGTTTGATTTTGGAGATTTGATTGCCCTATGTTTACGTACATAAGAAAAGATGTTAATAAATTGAATCCGGGCGGATTTTTCTTTAGCACGCATGTCATTTATTTAAACTACTGAATTGATGCAGTTATACGTGTCATGATCAAATCACTAATGATTTAATAAAACTAAAAAAAAAAAAAAGGTCGGAACTTTATCATGTGGTTTGATATTCGAGTGAATTTGAAAAATGATGAAAGAGGCAAAAAAAATCATACAATTATTTGCATAGAACAGATGTGGCCACCCTAAATATAAATTTTGCCTTTTGTTTTTGAAAGGTAGTTTCTCATTTACAATTTGTATAACTTTTTTTTGAAAGAATTTTCTAAACCTAAACCATATAGATATTTTTGCCATCATACAAATGTGAAAGAGTTGAGTGTTATAAATATAAATACAAATATATAGCTGTTAAATAAGTAAATTCATGATATTTTTATGTTGATTTCAGAGATAATTTCTTTGAAAAGAGGATTCCTGCTTCTTGTGATAAACTGAATTTTTCATTTTCTTTCCAAATGGCATATTCTTTAGGCCTATCCAACTCTCTTAAAAATATTTTATATTAGAGGATTCTTTCCTGAATTTATTTTCTATATCACATTCCGTATTCCGTACGCACAGCTGCATACGGTCTCCAATCACAGCCATCCGTTTTTAAATTTAAAATAATAATAATAAAAAAAAAGTGGGACCCACTATCATACAGGCTTTATTTGGTTGAATTTTGATGTTGTGTGATTTTTTTTTTCCATCGACTGGCACTTTCCAAAAAAAACAACATTTACATGCATGCCACTCAATTTTTTATTCATTTACATATCTAACACCTAAGTTTCAATTTTTACATACATACCACCTTAACTCTCCATGAAAATGGTGTATTTCACTTTTTAATAAGTTAAAAATTATTAAATGCATATGAATTAGCTGGTAGGTATGCAAATGCCCCAAAAAAATTATTCATGTAGCCAACCACTAAGGGGGATAAAGGCTTATTTGTTGTTGTATGTAAATGCCCCCAAAAAAAAAGAAAAATTCGCTTATTTGTTGTTGTATGTAAATGCCCCCAAAAAAGAAAAATTTGCATATATACCACTCAATTCCCGTATATTTATATATCTACCAGCGCATGAGAAGATATATTTCACTTTTTAAATGTTAAAATGGATTTATCTTTTACATGGTATGAAAAATTTGTGGTGGTACAAATATAGAAAGTAAAGTTTAGTGTTGATATGTAAATGCATGAGGATTGGGTGATATGTATGCAAATCTCCTTTTTTTAAAATTGCTTGAGAGGATTAACGTTGGAGTTACTTGTCCTAACCGACAAATTATCTTCTTAATCTTTCATAATCAAAGATTTTAAGTCCCATAACATGCATCTTCTTCGCCACAAAGAACATTCTTAAAAAACCCTTATTCGGTCGTAAAGGAAACAAAGAAAACAAAGTAGATGCTTCTATTATAAGCATTGCTAGTCTAGTTTGGGTAGCTTTCTTTATGTAATGTAGAGTTATAAGTCTAACTCCCATGTAATGATCAAGACATATACCTTTTTTAGGGAAGTGTGAATTCAAGATGAGCCCCTTTTCTCCCTTCCAATCTTTAGGACATGAACCTCATTTTATGATTAACCTAACCTTTCGGCAGCTCGGTCAAAGAGAGTTAAGAGGCCCATAAATACTTCTCATTTTTCAGGCCAAGAGACCTAATATTGCACAACACTTTGTGCCCAACTTCTATGTATGATTCATTGAGTATGATGACTTTCTCTTATGCTACAAGGTCATTTAACATTCCATGATTATCACTTTATCATTCTAATTTTCATGGCTAGCTCACTTGATTACCCATTTAATTATTGTGTAGTTTGGTTACCCCATTAATTATTGTTAAGTTGTAAGTTCCTTCTTTCTCTTGAGTATCTTTATGGCAAGCTCACCTCTTTGCATAACTCTTAAACCTTCTCAAAGAAGATGGTGACTTCACATTCTGATAAATAAAGCTTCTCCATTAATAACCTCCTACACCATTATCGGGTCTTGTCGATCTTTCCTTTGGATGTCATTCTAACTCATTGGTATCAATTGTTTTTAATGGTTCCAATGGAAGATCCCAATTTCCAAACTCCATGCGAAAAAAAAATCTCATCTACTCCATTGAACCTTAAAAACACATGGCGAAAAATTTTAATCGGGCGTATTCTGGTGAATCCACTTTCTTGGAGGTGAATTCAATCATGGCAAATGAAGTGCCTAATTGTCAAACATATACTAAACACATGTTTTTGATAGAAATGAAGGCTATTATAGATTGACAAGAGAAAACATTGAAAAGCTAGTCGTAGATCTTGTAGTCATTTTGTTAGTTTTCAACTCATCAGCACAAAGTTCAAACGGGACTATAAGAATTGATGTAAAGCATCATGGTGATAATAATCATCATTGATAAAATGATGATATCCAAGGTCCCATCAAAAGATCAAAAAGCTAGAGCTATCATCGAGCGCAAGGAAGATCAAAGACATGGGAGACTTACCGAACACGAATGTCTTAAAATTGGAAATTAACTTTTGAATTTAAAAAATTTAATCATACTTTTAAAATTTTCCTACTGCAAATTTCAAAAATTATACCTTCAACATGAATGTCTTAAAACGTGAATAATTAAATCTAAATAGTTTTCAAGTTACACGCATGCATCATAAGATAAAATCATTCTAAATTACAATGTTAAGTAATGCGAGCACATTAAAAATTATGGAAGTTCTTTGCTGCGTGCTACTCTGTTAAAAAGGTAAATGCATGAGCTAATCTCAATAAGTCTTGCTCCCAAAAGCATGCAATTGTTTTAAAAATTGTGCAAAAAGTATGAAAAACACACTGCAATGGGATAACTCTCTCTTTTTCTTGTCCAGAATTGAGAACATTATACATGCCTAATCCTCGAGATGAGGAATAACTCTAATATAGAAAATATCTTGTAATAGGATATATTCTAATTAATTTGTCTAATATCAAATTTTCTAATATACAAGATTCAGAGTTATTACTTTCCATAACACTCTCCCTCAAGCTGGAGCATAGATATTTATCACGTCTAGCATGCTACAAATATAAATGACCCTAACCCCATTAAGGGCCCTTGTGAAGATATCCCCTAGTTGTTCTCTCAAGTCTTCACATGACATGTAGAAATTAGATTCAGTTGAATCTTTTTACGAACAAAATGACAATCTACTACAATGTGCTTAGTTCGTTTATGAAAGACAATGTTTGAGGCAATATGAATTGTAGTTTGGATATCACACCACAACTTTGCTGGAAGTGTCGTCTTAAAACTTGGGTCTAGAGTTGGGAAACCCGCATCAATTCACTCGAAACTCGTGTCATCGCTCGAAACTAGCATTCAACATTAGCTCCTAACCCTACATTCTATTTCTTATTCTTCCATGAGAAACAAAGACATAATATCTAGTAATGAATATTCAATCAATCTTGAAACTTGCCCAATTTGCCTAAGAAAAACATTCTATATTTATGTTTACAATCTCGATATAAAATATATTGTCTGGGAGCTCCATTAACGTAACATGGTATCTCTTCCATAACTGACCAATGATGGGTTGTGAGGGAAGGCATAAACATGCTTATAGTGCTAACTAAATATGCAATGTCAAGCCGAGTTACTGTGAGGAAGCTTAATTTTCCTACTAACTTCATATACCATTAAGGATCATTAAAGGGCTCTCCATCTTGGGTGAGTTGTTGATTAAGAAGCATCGAAGTACTGCATGATTTGACCCCTAATTTACCAATTTCTGCTAAAAAAATCCAAGACATACTTCTCTTGAGATAGAACATTGATACCTCAATCCTCAAGTACTTCAAAGAACCCAAATCTTTAGTGTTGAGCTGATCTTAAGAAAATGATTTCAATGATAAGATTCCTTACACATCGCTTCCAGTAACAATACCATTAACATAAACCGCCAATAAAATGATTCCTGAAGCATATTGCATATAGAATACAGTATAATTACTTCTACTTTTCTGCATCCCAAATCCTTCTATATTTTGGCTAAATTTTCCAAACCATGCTCGAGAGATTTGCTTCAATATATATATATACTTTTGAAGGCAACATTCTTTCTCCGCTCCCCCTGAAAAAACAAACCCATGAGGTTGTTCCATATATACATCTTCCAAAAGATAACCATGCAGAAAAACATTCATCACGTTCAGCTGGTGCAGGTTTCAATTATTCAATGCAGTCAATGATAGGAATAGACGAACCAAAGTAGAAAGAATATTTCCAAGTAGTCGATCCCATAACAATAAACATAACCCTTAATTATCAACCGAGTTTTGAAACAAGTTACAGATCCGTTAGAATGAAACTTAACTGCAAAAACCGATTTACAACCAACAACTTTTTTGCTAGAAGATAGGTCGACTAGTTCCCAAGTTTCATTTTCAATTAAAGCATTCATCTCATCAAGCATTGCTCCCCTTCAAGCATCATTGCCCTTCACCCATAATGGGTAGGGTTTGTTGGACTTATCTTGGAACCTCAACAGAGTCGAGAGAAACAATAACGAGTAGGAAGTGGAAGATAACATATGATAATTAACACAAGAAGAAATGGGATAGACCCATTGAAGTTTATTGATATCAATGTTGTAGGTTAAGACCACTGGTAGGAGGACCCACTGAGGAAGATGATATCAGTGTTGAACTAGGATCAGGGCAACGAGGCCTTCTCATATAAACATTAGTGATAGGTGGTCTAAGTGAAGGCATTGTAGGTGGAGTTGGATCAAAACTCATAATGTGATGCATTAACAACTCATCATAATCTCGTGAGGATTTAAACATTGACGAGTCATCAAACAAAGAGTTTGTTCATAAAAAACTATATTAATAAAA